CAGTGCTGTTTGATGCTCTGCAATCGTCAGTGCTGTTTGATGCTCTGCAATCGTCAGTGCTGTTTGATGCTCTGCAATCGTCAGTGCTGTTTGATGCTCTGCAATCGTCAGTGCTGTTTGATGCTCTGCAATCGTCAGTGCTGTTTGATGCTCTGCAATCGTCAGTGCTGTTTGATGCTCTGCAATCGTCAGTGCTGTTTGATGCTCTGCAATCGTCAGTGCTGTTTGATGCTCTGCAATCGTCAGTGCTGTTTGATGCTCTGCAATCGTCCAACAGCAGGAAAACGGGATAAGTTCCCACATATATGTGCTCTCGTCGGTTACCACTGGTCTCGCATCTGCAGCACCAGCAGGTGGTGTGCTCCTTCTCCCTTTGCTGCCCGTCTGAAGCCCACTTGACCCTAGTGATAGTGGCACTACAGGACTGGGCAGGTGTGTGAGTGTGTGTGTGTGTGAGTGTGTGCGTGCGGGCGCGTGCGTACGTGCGTGTGTGTGTGCGTGGTGTAATGCTGAGTGTGGAGAGGAAGGTTTGCTTTTTGTGAGCTCCTTCTTCAGGATGTTGTAACCGCCCTAAGCAGCCGTGTGGTGTAGACCAGGCCATGGCTGTGGTGGCCCACTAGGTAGCCTTGCAAGTTGCCTGGTGGATTTCGAACAACACGCTGCACAAGACGACTGGAGCGGTATTTTGAATTTGAATTTGAAAAATGGTGGCGAAAAGAAAGAGTGTTGGGAAAGGGAACATTCTGGCTGCTCTGATGTGGAATGTTCGCTCTCTGGTGGAGGATAGTGAGGACGTTAGGACTTGTAGAGGATGTACATCTGTCGGTGACGGGCCTGTCGACAGGAAGCTCGACATTCTTTCAAACGAACTACACAATTTAACTTTCGATGTGGCTGGTGTACAGAAGGCGTGCTGGTTTTGGGAACTACGTTTGGCCTGTCAGTGGTGGTGGCGTTTTTCTCCACTCTGGACGTGCCTTGCCCGGCTAAGGTGAGCCTAGACGACGGAATGAAGGCATGGAAATATTGTTGAATGCGAAGGCGACTGAGCTGTGGCGGCGCAGTGGCGAGCAATGGAAAGCTATCAGTTCGCGCATTGTTACTGCAAGGATTCTAGTCGGAGCGAAGGGCTACAAGATACGACAGGGTAGCGGTCTCAAGGTTCTTCGTGACAGTCGTCATGGCCTACGCTCCAACAAGCAAGGTCACACCGCCAGTCAAGGATCATTTCTTCAGTAATCTACAGTCAGTCATGAGCACAGTCGATTCCGGCGATATTCTCCTACTCTTAGCGGATTTCAATGCTCGTGTTGGTTCATCATGCGACCTGATGTTTGGTGATGTTGCTCGTTTCGATGACATTCGTGGCGACGGTGGTGGCTGGAGTCGTGTGCGTGGGCGGTATGGGTATGGCTTTGGATTCTGCAATGAGGCAGGGGAAAACTTCCTGTCGTTTTGTGCAATCCATGATCTGTCCAAAATAATAAAATTTGGATTTTTGAGTAGTGGTGTATAACTGCGTGAAACATGAAGTTGCTACAGTGGAGTCTGCACACCCTTAGGAACATGATGATGTCCATCATGAATACTTGGTTCATGAAGAAGAAACATGAACGTGGAACTTGGGTACACCCAGCAATTCGGAACGAACATTTAATAGATTACATCCTGATGTGCTCTGTCCAGCATTGTTATTGCCGGGACGTGTCATGCGCGGAGCACTGTGTTGGACGGATCATTTCTAGGTTTGCACCAGACTTGTACTCGATTTCGTCCTGCCTAAAACACCGTCCAACAAACGGAGGAAGCCCTATGCCGCGTGCTTGGGCTACAGAGCGGTGACGTCCAAGAGTCGTTTTGTAAGGAGATGGAGAACGCCTGCGAACATGCTCCTGACATAGATGAGAATCGCAATGTCAAGGAGGCCTGGGACGCTGCATGTACTGATATTCAAGGTGTTGCGTCTAGGGTGCTGGGCCACAGCAAACGCAGACAGCCCGACTGGTTTCTGGAGAGCCAATCAATCTTGGAGCACTTGATTGAGAAGAAGCAGTTGATACATGAGCGTATGCTTGCGAACGATAGTGCCTCAACGCGAAGGGAATTCTGGGCTGCCCAAAAGTCAGTCAACCGAGAGGTGGATTGCGGAGGTTGCTACCGACGCAGGGAACGCGCAAAAGGATGGTTGCATGCACTGGAAATCCATCAGGAACTGCAGGGAGTACATTCTGGGAGACAACCGGTTTCCATATCAGCGGTTTACAATCAAGAAGGTGTTTTAACGTCCAGCCCTGACAGTGTCAGGGATTGCTGGAGTCACCACTTTGCGCAGGTGCTCACCATTGCTAGTAATGTTGATATCACTGTGTTACAGAGTATGCCTACTGAGGAGTCACGTGTGAGTCTAGATCTACCTCCAGATTTCGATGAGGTGATGTGTGCAATGCGGAGACTTAACATGGGTACAGCTGCGGGGAGTCTAAGATTGCTCCAGAGTTCCTTCGCTATGGCGGGGAAGGCTTGCATCAGTGTATATCTAATATTGTTCAGGCGGTGTGGTTGAGCGGTTCAGTACCTCCTGAGTAGCGTGATGCGGAGATTGTCACGATTCCAAAGCAAGGAGACCTCCACTGATGTGACAATTGGCGTGACATAAATCTTCTGGACGTTGTTGGGAAGTTGTTTACTCGTGTCATCCAGGTTCGTCTAATGAAAACAGGCAGAGGACAACTTGCTAGAGTCGCAGTGTGGTTTTTGGAAGGGCCGTGGTTGCTTCGACATGATGTTTGTGGCTCGCCAGCTTTTGCAGAAATCCATCTAGCATACCTCGCAGCTGTACGTCCTGTTTGTTGACCACAGAAAGGCGTATGATTCAATTCCCCATTATGCGTTGTGGCTGGTCTTGGAGAGAGTTGGTATGCCACAGCATATGCTTGGCTTAATCCATAGTCTCAACAACGGCATGGAGGCCAGGGTGTGCGTTGCTGGAGGGCTAACAGATGCCATCTCTGTGGCCAATGGTCTCTGGCAGAGCTGTACCCTGGCACCTACTCTGTTCGATATATACTTTGCCACGGTGGTTGCCTCGTGGCGTTCCACATTGACTGTGCCTGGTGTAACTCTGCACTACCGCATCGGACGGAAGCTTGTTGGCGATCGGTCAGCCAAATCGAAACTACTGGAGACCGAGATAACGAAATCACAGTTTGCGAATGATGCAGCGCTTTACGCACCGTCTCAGTGTGGTGTGGACATCCTAGCAAGGGAATTTGTTAGCTGCACTGCGCGTTGGGGCTTGACCGTGAGCACTTCCAAGACGAAGGTGATCGCCGTGGGTGATGACTATGCTCGGTGTGGCATACATCTGGAGTCTGGTGATGTAATTGATCAGGTGGCCAGTTTTACCTACCTTGGTGGTTCTCTGGACGATAACGGTTCACTGGATGGCGAGGTAGCAGTGCAGCTGGCTAAGGCGTCACTTGTTTTTGGCTCCTTGCAAATGCCCATTTCCCATTACAAGCCCCTATCTATACGCACGAAGAGACTGGTGTATACGGCCAGTGTACTCACCGCTCTGTTTTACGGTGCCGAGACCTAGGCACTGAAAGCGGCTGAACGTCTTCCATCACGCGTGCAGTCGTGCTATCCTTGGTGTATCCCGCTCGACACAGTGGCAGGACAGGCTCACCAGCGAGGAGACTGCAAAGCGAGTCAGACTCACAGCAGACATCGGTGGGCTTCTGCAGTGCCATCGTATTCGCTGGCTTGGTCACATTGCCAGGATGAATTCCAGCAGTCTCCTCAAGCAGGTCCTCTTCAGGCAACTTCCGTCATGGCACCATGAAGAGATGGCATGATGTCACTAGATCTGACCTGGCCATGGCGGGGATCCCGGAAAGTGCAGGGGCGTCGCACACGGTACGGTCACTACGGTATTGACCGTACCACTTTTTGCCCCAGATACCCCGTGAATCAACAAAATACACTGATCTTGGATCGAAAATTCCAAAATTTTCGGCTCAGCCACCACTCCTCCACGAGTAAATTGTACTTCAGATGGCTGACCGTACCACACTAAAATACCTTCCGACGCGTTTGAAGTGACTGGTATTATGTGGCACAAGACAGGGGAGAGTGGAGGAAGTTGTCTCGTCGTCCTCCGCCAGGGTCAGCGAAGAGTTTTCAGTGCATGTGTGGAGGAATATTTCGCCGGGCGCGTGACTTGAAGGGTCACTCCCCATATTGCTCAGCTCGTACGCTATCATCGCATTAGCGATGGGCGTCCAAGGTCCAAGGTATGTGCGTGTGTATACGTGTGTGTGGTTGTGTATGTGTGTGTGTGGTTGTGTGTGTTTTGGAAGTATTGTATATTTGTAAGCTGTTCCTTGAGCTGTGTGTACAAAATGAGAATGTGTTGTTTTTGCAGTTACATGGTGCTAGTCCTCATGAGTGTGTTATTAGTACCATGTGACGTGTTCTCCTGCCTTTTTTCTTTTTCACACACTGAGTAAATGTGCCCTTTTAGTCTTTAATTTCCGCTTTCGTGAAATGTTAGATTAAATCTCTTACAAACTCGTTGCCTATATTTGTAGTCTTTGAGTTATTTCATGATTCCCTGTATAGCCCTGCAAGAATGGAACAAAAACGTTCTCCAGTTTAGCTCTGTTTGGATCGTCCTTCCGCCTGGTTCTGCGGCGTCGGTGCATGCATGGATTGACATGAGGGAATGGGCATGGGTTAGATTATGTATGACTGTTCCCTTATCCGACCATTCTCCTTATTCGAACCCCCTGGAAACAGCCTGCACACCAAGGGATGTGAGTAGTCTACACTCCACTATATTTATTGTCATTTGCTTTTTGGCATGCTGAATTGTTTCATGGCGATATACTCTCGTCCTTAGTACTGAAAAGATTAGTTGTTTAGTGCTCTCTGCTCTGTTGTTTGTTATTAATTTTAGTGCACTCTGTTCTACTGTGCTGTGTTATGTTTTCTTGCAGGCAAGGTCACTGAGGGATGCCTGTAGCTACAATTCTACTTCTGTTGTCAAGTTCTTGGCATGCACTGTTGACAAGCACTTGCTGAACCATGAAGGGCCTTACAGTTACCAACTTTCTACGGGATTACCTGTAAGTGTACTATAAGTGTAAGTGTAATGGACCATGGTTTAGAAGAACACTGATAACCTTCAAAAAACCTATGGCAGGGTCACTTGTACGGGCAACAAATAAGTATATAATACATGCCCTGTGTCGGTTGTGTTAGTTTCAAGCCTAGCAGTCACGGTTATATCGGCGCAGGGTGTGTGGCTGGTGTAGTCAGGAGGCTGTCGAGGTGGGGACAGTTATGTGACATTGTCGAGGCTGAGGAAATATTTGTTCTCATGCCAGCATTTGGACATGAGTTCCGAGCACTGGTTGAGACTAGATGTTGATTTATCGTGTTGACTGAGTATGTACTTTTCTCTAGTGTAGAGGGAATATCACTAGGTGATGTTGATGTACGCACGGCCACCATACTTTACTCTCCAATAGACTTCGTACTGGGTGTTTGATTTCTTGAGGTTCCGGATGTGCCTGGACAATTTCGTGCTGTGGGAATATTTTCGTGTCTACTTGTTGTTATGTGGTAAACAATAACTTCGCATGGCGTGACTTGAACGATGGCGCCGATGTAACGCTTAATACCAGAGCATTCTTCGAAAAACGACTTTTGTACCGGCCGCAGTTGGGCCCTAGCCAGGTGAGCCCAGGCCACACCTAAAGATGTCTGGATGCCGGAGAGTATACATACGCGGTTTACAGTGAACCTCAAGGGAGTGATGTAATCAGTGATGTAATCAGTGATGTAATCAGTGATGTAATCAGTGATGTAATCAGTTGCAAGGTTGCAAAAGTGCTCTCTGGCTTGTCCATCAACTCAATGTGCATCGTGCGTGCTTGGCTCAAGTTTCGAGACAAAGCAGACTTCTTGAACGTCACTGCCAGTCCAGGAGCGAATCAGATATCGATCTCTGTAGCTACTCTCCACTGAAGAAGGAGAGAAGATTGAGCGGAAAGTGAAGCAACTCTCTTTCTCTCACTTTGAAATAAGGACATAGTCACTGTTGCGTAAACTGCCTGTGGTTGGTTGAGTGGACACACCTTTTCTTTTTCTAGACTAGCCAAAGTAAGGTGGTTTCCGGACACCAAAAACGCATACAGTGCACGTGCCTGATTGACAATGGGGTCTTTCCCACCAGGTTCCATTTTTAGCTACAGTTAGGATGGATACAACTTTTCCGCAATATTTGTAGGTGTTCACTGTTAAAATTGTACTTAAAGTAGGGTGTTGAATGAATCACTTGTAATCTTCATGACAGGGAAAATAGTACCAGGTGTGTGCATCATATCCAGTGGCCAGTATAACAGACTACGGTACTGCACAGAACCACCACTCCGGCAACTAGGGACCCACCTCGACTCAAAAGTCATTAGAATTGCCTTCTAATGTCATCACTTTCAGTATCTGCTCTGTATGTTGTATTTCTACTTTTTGGTATTTTACCGGCAGGAAGGATCCCACGGCAGTGCTCTTCATGCAGCTGTTTATCGAGGCTCCGCTAAGTGTTTACAGTATTTGCTCGATGCCGATGCGGATCCGAACGTGACTGATCCAGTGAGGAAACCAGTTTTATCATAGATATTTGGTTGGCATGGTTCCTGTGTGAACACGTGTATCTGAATGTGCGTGTGAATGTGTGTCTGAATGTGTGTCTGAACATGACGAGAGAGCTTGGAAGCTCGGGGCCCTATGCTATGTGTTTTTGCCTAGCTCATCATGCATGTTATTCGAAATAATGGAAGCGTCGTTGTACTGATGTTAGGGAGGAGAGGTATGCTTCAGAACTGTAGAGGATGTCATGTAGAATGAGAGAGCGAGTCACATAATCTGCCAGAGATTGCGTCTCGTCCGGGCCTGACTCATTTTTGCCCTCGAACATCGATATCCACAGACCGGTCTGCTCGATGCCAGATTGAATCGGGACATAAACTCTTGATGGAAGCAAAAATCTGTTCTACTGATAACTCCAGCTTCTGGAGACATTCTAGCGAAACAGATTTGGATCTACTGACCGATCTGCAGGCAGATTTCCTACTAACACTTGATGTGGATCCGATATCCAACGCCGCTATACTCACCTCATTGTCCGTCACCAGCACAGGATCAGCTCCCTCCTAACCGGAAGGAGAACCTGAAGACATTTCGATACTGAACGAAACCACGCTACACGAAAACACAAACTGAAAACTACTAGCGCCAAGAAAAAATTACACTACCAGAATTTGTTCGTGACGTCTCAATAAATCCTTAGTGAAATGACGCTTCTTTTTCATTTATCCTATGTTTTTTTTAACCATAGCATGGGATTCGAACCCGCACTATCGCCTGCATGCATTACCCCTGAATGCATTACCCCAATCCACGATACACTTCACATAAGTACACATTCTTCCAAGTTGCTTCACGTTATGATTTTGCACTTGAAAGCCCTATTTGAATAAGATGGCCAGCTGTCTTTGATGGTACGGTACCGGACATGTAAGGGATAGCGCCAGGCATGCCCGACGGCACAACAAACAATGACGGGATTAAAGCTGTATGGACCCTAGCTAGCGCCAGACGCTATATTTAAGCAACGCTTTTTGCATAGCTACGGGAATAAATCCTTAGTATCCAGTGTAATTCGTAAGCAGGGTTGGTCTCACGAGCGCGAGACATCTGTTATGCCAATAGGCTCAGAGTGATAATTATTGTTTGCTATATGGGTGTGTTATGCCTATTGTGACATGCATCACACTGCATGCCTGTAGGTATAGGGATAACTTGTTAGTTGGTTACAGCTCCATTCGCAGCTCAGTTCCTCCCAGGTTCTTGCTGGCCAGCCTACGAGCCTGCGAGTTTCTTAACAGCCACCTGACAGATAGATCTACTCAGAAAGCAGCAAAGACAATATATGACGTGTTAGCTGCTCTGGATAAACGGTCCTTTTCTAAGACACTTTCATAGGACAATACTATAGTTTTATGAGTATAATCAAGAGTATATAAGCCCCCAAGAGTGTACAACTCCTGATATCCTTTCTATGGGGTACACCGACGGCGAAAACTCACATCACGTGGTGTAGTTCACAGTTGTACGTTTCCAGCCCGTTTTTAGCGAGCAGTGGAGTAATAAAAAATCACTCTCTGACAGAAACTCACTGCGGGTGTGCAAATAGTATCTGCCGCTAGGGTTTACCGGGTGTTAGCGGCCGTCGTGAGTTCCCTTTGAAAACGGACACGATAATTTACTTTTTTACTTTTTTAATCACACCATCAGAGTGATACACCAGTTGTCCCCTGAGTTATGCAAGTCAGAAGAAGTTTTCTTTTGTTTATCACTGCTTGCACCTATTCCCGTACTACAGGATAAAGGGACGCCACTTCACTATGCCACTATTGAGAACAAGACCGACTGCGTTCTGCCTCTACTGCAAGCTGGAGCTAACCCAGATCAAGGAGATAAGGCAGGTTATGGAACAGCCATTTCTAGATACTCTGCTAATGCATTTCCTGAAAGCTAACTGTATGAAGAAATCAAAGCCTATGCTGGTAAACTGCTGGGGAAAGTGCTCAAAGTGCCGGGCGAGGAGCTTTTTTCACAATGATTATTCCCCATTTTTATGCCAATTGTCCGATGACTTCTTCAGCATGAAAATTATATCACGACAGCTCCTGATTGGCCGCTAGGGTTTACCGGGTGTTAGCGGCCGTCGTGAGTTCCCTTTGAAAACGGACACGATAATTTACTTTTTTACTTTTTTAATCACACCATCAGAGTGATACACCAGTTGTCCCCTGAGTTATGCAAGTCAGAAGAAGTTTTCTTTTGTTTATCACTGCTTGTACCTATTCCCGTACTACAGGATAAACGGACGCCACTTCACTACGCCACTATTGAGAACAAGATCGACTGCGTTCTGCATCTACTGCAAGCTGGAGCTAACCCAGATCAAGGAGATAAGGCAGGTTATGGAACAGCCATTTCAATATACTCTGCTAATGCATTTCCTGAAAGCTAACTGTATGAAGAAATCAAAGCCTATGCTGGTAAACTGCTGGGGAAAGTGCTCAAAGTGCCGGGCGAGGAGCTTTTTTTCACAATGATTATTCCCCATTTTTTATGCCAATTGTCTGATGACTTCTTCAGCATGAAAATTATATCACGACAGGTCCTGATTGGCCGCTAGGGTTTACCGGGTGTTAGCGGCCGTCGTGAGTTCCCTTTGAAAACGGACACGATAATTTACTTTTTTACTTTTTTAATCACACCATCAGAGTGATACACCAGTTGTGCCCTGAGTTATGCAAGTCAGAAGAAGTTTTCTTTTGTTTATCACTGCTTGTACCTATTCCCGTACTACAGGATGAACGGACGCCACTTCACTATGCCACTATTGAGAACAAGACCGACTGCGTTCTGCATCTACTGCAAGCTGGAGCTAACCCAGATCAAGGAGATAAGGCAGGTTATGGAACAGCCATTTCAATATACTCTGCTAATGCATTTCCTGAAAGCTAACTGTATGAAGAAATCAAAGCCTATGTTGGTAAACTGCTGGGGAAAGTGCTCAATGTGCCGGGCGAGGAGCTTTTTTCGCAATGATTATTCCCCATTTTTTATGCCAATTGTCTGATGACTTCTTCAGCATGAAAATTGTATAACGACAGCTCCTGATTGGACCCGTCTCCCTTTCATTGAAAACTGTTATGTGAAGAAATCAGTATGTGTCCTAACTCTGAGTGTCATGTTGCTGGTTGTGTGAATGAGGTTAGCTGGAGAGCACATTTGGTGAGGACTTTGGAAGTCTTCTGGAATCAACAGGCTCAAAACTGTCACTTACCCTGCTTCATATTGTATCCTCCACATACGAACATGTGGCATACAATATGTACTATCATTTCTCATAGTGAACCGTATTCTTTGTTGGTTACTTGCTGAACATATACTTATGTTATAGGAGGGAAAGACACCACTTCGCTATGCCATTGAGCGGGGTCGTATCGACTGCATGCGGCATCTACTGGACAGCAAAGCCGATCCAAACACACCTGACGAGGTAAGTTGCATCTCATGACGCATTTACAGCCAAAACTAGCTGTGAAACTGCTACCCTGTGCTGCAATGGTCTTAATCACTGCACAATTCTCCACAGGAACACTAAGTCTTGGATGTGAAGGGAAGCTTTGAGATGAACTCATTCATTTTTGCCGATCCAAACCTTTTACGCTAATGTAAGTTGAAAGCATGTGCTTGACCGTTATTGTGATAGGTAGTGTATACAGTCAAATTCGCTTATAACGACACTCGGCGGGGCAACAGAAAAGTGTCCTTATTCGCGAAGTGTCGTTATACCCGAAGTCTCATTGTATGTATTACAGTGGGATGGGACTTTGCTCTGGGCATGAAAATTCTGTCGTTATTCGCGAATTGTCGTTATATCCGCAGTCGTTATTAGCCAAGTTGACTGTACACCTTTCTCAGGGTGTTCAGCCTCCACTGTAGCAACTTCATGTTTCACACAGTTATACACCACTACCCAAAAGATGTCTCTCGGGTATAGTGTGTAGACTATGTAATCTTGACATGTAATATAGTTGGTTTGTATCTTACTTGAAGTACACTCAAAAGTTCCAGAAACTGAGACCGACCGGTATTTATTTACATGGCTTGAACGATTACAGAGGATATGCAAGATAGAAAAGGAGACGAAAGAAATTCCATGACTGTGTTGAAGCGAGAGAGAAGAAGAACTGGATAGAAACACAGGTTAACAGACTATCAAAGCACAAGCGGATGCGAACACGCTGTCCTCATCAGAGCGTGCACATACAAGTGCACCTACAACCAGCGCATACGACGCCAGTGTACTGCATGCATCAAATACGGAAAACGCATGCACCATAAATGTAGCCAGATCGATACTCGATCCCAACTGAGTACAGTTCGTACAGTCTGGGTGGCCAAATTAGTACCTCATGACGTCAACTAAACTAAACACAAACATAAAATACACCGTGTTTGAGGGGGGGGGGGGGGCAGTGTAGTAGACGGACTTTCTCCTACACAACAAGCTAGCACTGGGAGTTGTAACTAGACTTACCGTACTGTATATGGATATAGACTTACCGTACCGTATATTACAAATGCTTGCCCACTGTCGACCCACCGTCAAAAATTAATTTGCACTTTTGCTCACAAATTTAAACTAGCTCTACATCCTCCTCATCTTAACGTGTGTAACTGGTTCCGAATCACAGATGGCCCCCAGACAAGATGCTCTGTTGCCCCCCCCCCCCTTGGCTAAAACGTCCTCCCTTGTACGCTCTCCACTCTTTGTTGCTTACTCTGCTTGGCTTGCGCTGCCCGCTACTACGCGCAATGCCAGTGCCCTGGACGCATTTAAATCTGCTCACTAGATTCACCATCACCTGTCCCTCCCATGCTTCTCCGTCTTGACCATTACTTTTCTTCTTTTATTCACCATGGTTGGTTAACACCCACATCTCCCGTACTGGCTGATTTTCTTCTCATGCCATGAGGTGTTGTCTATAATAATAATCATATAGACTTACTATACCGTATATAGATATAGACTTACCGTACCGTATATAGATCCGTCTGTCAGTTTGTCAGTTCCGTTGTTGCAGTCTTTACTTCCGTTTTCTTAGTCTTCGTCTTGAGTTCGTCATGTCTAGTTGTGTTTTGTAGTCGTATTGCAATCAACAGTCTCTCAAATGCAGTTATCGTTGTCCCTTTGTATAAGTAGGGACTTTTCGCACCACGGGTACGGATACGAAACGAATGCTGATTCGTCACCTGGGTTTGAGGATTCGTCAGAGTCCCTGCGGAGAGCTCGTTTTCACGAATGGAAGCCTCTTCATTCGTGGAGCGCTCCGAATCCGTCAGGTACACATTTATTTGACCAGCTACACATGTTTTGCCAGGTAAACATTGTTTCCCTTGATTCCATGATCCATGCACGTGTTTTTTTGTTTTTTTGTTTTTTTTACTTGCGGACAATCAATGCGATCGTACGATGAAAATAAAGAACATCCATGCACGTGTGCGTGTAAACACCCGTACGCCAAGCTACTGGCCGCATTCGTAGTTGCCATGCACATTTGCATGACGACTTGCGAAAACTGAATCCATTTTCAACGATTACGAACCGAATCAAACTTTCGTTTCGCATTCGATTCGTAGCAAATGCGAAAGGTCCCTAGTGTGGAGATGGCATGGGACTGGGAGCAGGTGGAGAAAAGGGAGTTACAACACGTGCACTTAAACTCAAGAAAATCGAACAACTAGTGCGAAGGAAATAAAGGAACGTAACTACGTCGTCAAACAGTGCAACAGAGCAGTCTACCGACTAAAATCCAGCATGGATAAAACGACATCTGGGCACTTGCCTAACACATTTATCAAGGATACTGCAGAGCAAGTTACGTAGACACAGGTAAGACAAGTCAAATACAAATCAATAAATTCAATGCTGAAGAAATAATTCAAACAAACCAGCATGGCATAGCCTAGCATAGCAGCACCTAGCCAGGGAATCAAGTAGGAGTTACAGTCATGACGAGATCTGACACACATTCACTGAAGACCTTTCCCATGACAAGGCCATACACAACATTCTCCCCACCAAAGGGCTTCAGTCAACTGAATCAAAAATTAAGTCAAGTGGAGTATCCAGTGCCACTTTGTGAGACTTTCGGTCCAACTCACAATCTTCTCAATCGGCACCCTCAATTTGTTGACAACAAATGACAACAACTTCGCAGCAAGACACGCCGACAGATACCCACGCAACCTGAACAGGATACTGGTGAGATCTGGTAGCAGTGACGGACCGGGATCGACCATATTGCTCAGCGATGCTGCTCCGGTGTACGCTGCCGACGCGTTGAAGACGACTCGTGTCTGTGTTGTCGTAGCGTCGCGGCGGAATACTTTGTGATGTGGCATGCAGTAACCAGCACTCTCTGGGTGTGGCTCTTTCTCGGTGGTGTCCAACGCCAAATACTCGTTTATCAGGACTTCATCATACACTGTCCGCTGCCCATTGCTCTCCAACCTCGTAATGGCACTACTATTCAGATTGCTGCTGACGACTCTAGAGGGTCTAGACTGTGTGATTTTCTCCTCTAACTCAGCGACACTCTAGCAACGACAGCAGCATCCTGAATAGTAGTGCCATCACGAGGAAGCCAGCCATCATGATGCCTAAGTTTGATGGTAAGCAAATGGTAGAGTCCTACCTTGAGTTATTCGAGGACGTGGCGGCACAGAACGAGTTCAGTGACGACGAGTACCTGATCAGATTGCGCATTGCTGTTGCTAGCAGCAAGCTAGAGAGCGCATGCTATGGATGCAACACGTTTGCGGACGCCAAGCGCGAGCTGCTAACTGCAGATGGAAAGACCGCCGACATGCAAGGCCTGGCAGGCGTTGGTGTCCATGGTGCAAAAGAGCGATGATACTTTTTACCTGGGCTTCTATCTAGTTCTTCTTCCCTCTTGCTTCAACATAGTCACGTCATTTCTTTCGTCTCCTTTTCTATCTTGCATATCTTCTGTAATCGTTCAAGCCATGTAAATAAATACTGGTCGGTCTCAGTTCCTTGAACCTTCGAGTGTAAGATACACAACAATAGTGGACACACAAGTAGCCATGTTCTTTGTTTGTTAGTTACTGAACATTCACTTGTGTTATAGTGGGGAAAGGCACCACTTCACTTTGTCAGTGGCCAGGGTTGTATTCAATGAATGCGGCATCTACTGGGAGCAAAGCCAACCCAAACCTTTCCGATAATTTAAGTTGATGAACATTCTGTTCTACAATTATTGTGATAGATAGTGTAGAGACTATGTCATGTACAGACAGTATTGTGGGCACACAAGTACATGTGACTGAGAACTTCTCTGTCTGATTTGTAAAATATACTGCAGTAATCACACCATCAGAGTGATACACCAGTTTTCCCCTGAATTATGCAAGTCAGAAGGAGTTTTCTTTTGTTTATCACTGCTTGTACCTATGGCTGTATCACAGGTTAGCGCTTGCACCCGAATGCATCAGAGCAGTGTATAGGAAATGGGAGAGCCAAGTGACTACATGCAATGGAAAGTCACAGAGCAAAGCTGCATGCATACCCACGTATTCTCACAACACCGCACAAGGATGATTGGGGTACACCAGTGTGCTGGTTTCGATCAACTGGTGAAGCGATTGGCGTTGCAAACAGCCAAAGTGATCGCTCACGACTGAGCTGCAGCAGTACCCGCGACCGGGTGCAAAGTTCCCTGATCGACGTTGCAAACAGCCAACCAGGGTGAAGCAGTTGGCGTTGCAAACGGCCAAAGCAATCGCTCATGCTTGAGCGGCAATAGTACCCGCGACCGGGTGCAATGACTACTGATTGGCGTCGCAAACAGCCGACCAATAGTATGCAATTTTAAGCAGAGATAGTAGCAGGAAAGCAACCAGTTGAAGGAAGCTGTTCCCACCTATATAATGTGGGAATGGGAGGGTGGGTGGCAAACAAATTCCGGTTGCTGCTCAGTGACACTGCAAAGGAAAGCGCAAGCCAAAGTCAGCGCATCAAGAGCTACCCAAGGCGATTTGGGCGCGCATGCGCAGCAGTTGAGTGCACGTGTAAAGCCAGCTCGATCGCAGCTAGCATGAGATAGAGAGCAGCGCATCGGTCTTATCGCTAACTAGGGTTAGCCCAAAAGCTAACCCAACATTTAGCGCTTGCACCCGAATGCAGCAGAGCAGTGTATAGGAAATGGGAGAGCCAAGTGACTACATGCAATGGAAAGTCACAGAGCAAAGCTGCATGCATACCCACGTATTCTCACAACACCGCACAAGGATGATTGGGGTACACCAGTGTGCTGGTTTCGATCAACTGGTGAAGCGATTGGCGTTGCAAACAGCCAAAGTGATCGCTCACGACTGAGCTGCAGCAGTACCCGCGACCGGGTGCAAAGTTCCCTGATCGACGTTGCAAACAGCCAACCAGGGTGAAGCAGTTGGCGTTGCAAACGGCCAAAGCAATCGCTCATGCTTGAGCGGCAATAGTACCCGCGACCGGGTGCAATGACTACTGATTGGCGTCGCAAACAGCCGACCAATAGTATGCAATTTTAAGCAGAGATAGTAGCAGCAAAGCAACCAGTTGAAGGAAGCTGTTCCCAGAAAACCAGCACACGGCACCCCAGCAAGCGTTCACCACCAATGCACGAGAGCTAAGAACAAGTGATTAAGGCACGAGATGGATAAAGGTAGGCATGCAGATGGATGAAATCCAACGCAGGTTCTCAATACGGCAATTTAGCAATGACAATCGGCACCTGTATGTCAAGGCTATATTACATCGACTGGAATGGCAGCACTGCTCGGTCTGGTTGTGCTTGAGCAGCTGGGGCGAGACGTCGGAATTCCTCCATTCCGGTTGCTGCTCAGTGACACTGCAAAGGAAAGCGCAAGCCAAAGTCAGCGCATCAAGAGCTACCCAAGGCGATTTGGGCGCGCATGCGCAGCAGTTGAGTGCACGTGTAAAGCCAGCTCGATCGCAGCTAGCATGAGATAGAGAGCAGCGCATCGGTCTTATCGCTAACTAGGGTTAGCCCAAAAGCTAACCCAACATATAAACGGACACCACTTCACTATGCCATTATTGAGATCAATGCGGACTGCGGACTGCATCTACTGCAAGCTGGAGCTAACCCAGATCAAGGAGATAAGGCAGGTTATGGAACAGACATTTCAATATACTCTGCTAATGCATTTCCTAAAAACTAACTGTATGAAGAAATCAAAGACTATGCTGGTAAACAGCTGGAAAGGTGCTCAATGTGCCGGGCGAGGAGCTTTTTTGACAATGATTAATTTTATCCCCATTTTTAATGCCAATTGTCTGATGGCTTCTTCAGCATGAAAAATATGTCACAGCAGATCCCGAGTGTATCCCTCTCTCTCTCTCTCTCTCTCTCTCTCTCTCTCTCTCTCTCTCTCTCTCTCTCTCTCTCTCTCTCTCTCTCTCTCTCTCTCTCTCTCTCTCTCTCTCTCTCTCCTCCCTCCCTCCCTCCCTCCCTCCCTCCCTCCCTCCCTCCCTCCCTCCCTCCCTCCCTCCCTCCCTCCCTCCCTCCCTCCCTCCCTCCCTCCCTCCCTCCCTCCCTCCCTCCCTCCCTCCCTCCCTCCCTCCCTCCCTCCCTCCCTCCCTCCCTCCCTCCCTCCCTCCCTCCTCCCTCCCTCCTCCCTCCCTCCCTCCCTCCCTCCCTCCCTCCCTCCCTCCCTCCCTCCCTCCCTCCCTCCCTCCCTCCCTCCCTCCCTCCCTCCCTCCCTCTCTCTCTCTCTCTCTCTCTCTCTCTCTCTCTCTCTCTCTCTCTCTCTCTCTCTCTCTCTCTCTTTCATTGAAAACTGTTATGTGAAGAAATCAGCATGTGTCCTAACTCCGAGTGTCATGTTGCTGGTTGTGTGAATGAGGTTAGTCGGCGAGCACATTTGGTGATGACTTTGGAAGTCCTCTGGAATCAACAGGCTCAAAGCTGTCACTTGCCCTGCTTCATATTGTTAGGTACCTCCTCCCGTACCTTTTCTAGTTGGCCTGCATGCACTTACGTACTCACCTTTTGTCTCCTTTTGTTCCGTTGGCCTGGGTAGCTACTTGCGCGCCCATATTTGCCATAGCTACCCAGGCCCTTTATCTTGCCGTTCAGACTTGATCTCTCTCTCTCTCTCTTTTCTCACTCGTCAATAATCATCATGTAGTCGTTTCGTTCGTCTTGGTCTCTTGTCTCGTCGTCTATAATAAATGTCGTCCCCCAACCTACCTGTTCCTGTTGTAATGTCTGGATATGTTGTCAGTCGTCCTGTTTCGAACTCAACATTGGCGCCCAAAGTGGGGCTCGAACCCACGACCCTGAGATTAAGAGTCTCATGCTCTACCGACTGAGCGCGCCCATATTTGCCATAGCTACCCAGGCCCTTTATCTTGCCGTTCAGACTTGATCTCTCTCTCTCTCTCTTTTCTCACTCGTCAATAATCATCATGTAGTCGTTTCGTTTGTCTTGGTCTCTTGTCTCGTCGTCTATAATAAATGCCGTCCCCCAACCTACCTGTTCCCGTTGTAATGTCTGGATATGTTGTCAGTCGTCCTGTTTCGAACTCAACAATATTGTATCATCCACAGACAAACATGTGGCATACAATGTGTACTATCATGTCTCATAGTGAGCCATGTTCTTTGTTGGTTACTTGCGGAACATACACTTATGTTATAGTATGGAAAGACACCACTTCACTATGCCAGTGAGCGGGGTAGTATCGACTGCATGCGGCATCTACTGGACAGCAAAGCCAATCCAAACCAACCTGACAAGGTGAGTTGCATCTCATGAAGTATTAACAAACAAAAGTGTGAAATTGCTACCCTGTGCTGCAATGGTATTAACCATTGCACACTTTTGTCCGAAAAATGGGATGTGAAGGGGAGCCATGAGATGAACTAATTCATTTTTGTTGATCCAAACCTTTTACGATAATGTAATTTGAAAACATGCTCTTCACCATTATTGTGATAGGTAGTGTATATACACCTTCCTCAGGGTGTTCAGACTCCACTGTAGCAATTTCATGTTTCACACAGTTATACACCACTACCCAAAAAAGGTCTCTCGGGTATAGTGTGTAGACTATGTAATCTTGACATGTAATATAGTGGACACGCAATTAGCCATGTTCTTTGTTGGTTTATAGTTGCTGAACATCCACTTGTGTTATAGTGGGGAAAGGCACCACTTCACTATGTCAGTAGCCAGGGTCATAGCGATTGTATGCGGCATCTACTGGACGGCAAAGTCAATCCAAACCTTTCCGATAATATATGTTGATGAACATTCTATTCTACGATTATTGTGATAGGTAGTGTAGAGACTATGTCATGTACAGACAGTATTGTGGGCGCACAAGTACATGTGACTGAGAACTTCTCTGTCTGATTTGTAAAATATACTGCAGTAATCAGATCATCAGAGTGATACACCAGTGATGGAAATCAGAATAGGTTTTCTTTTGTTAATCACTGCTTGTACCTATGGCTGTATCACAGGATAAACGGACACCACTTCACTATGCCACTATTGAGAACAAGGCCGACTGCGTTCTGCATCTACTGCGAGCTGGAGCTAACCCAGATCAAGGAGATAAGGCAGGTTATGGAACAGACATTTCAATATACTCTGCTAATGCATTTCCTAATGCATTTCCTGCAAACTAAATTTACGAAGAAATCAAGGACTATGTTGGTCAACTGCTGGAAAAGTGCTCGATGTGCCGGGCGAGGAGCTTTTTTCACAATGATTATGCCCCATTTTTTAATGCCAATTGCCTGATGACTTCTTCGGCATGAAAATTAAATCACAACAGCTCCTGATCGGACCCTTCTCTCCTTCATTGAAAATGTTATGTGAAGAAATCAGTATGTGCCCTAACTCCGAGTGTCATGTTGCTGGTTTTTTTTTTTTTTTTTTTACTACGTTCACATAACCAGCTCGAAAAGAATAAGGAAAGACAATGGTACGGAGACTAGGACAAACTGACAACTAATGAGCAGGCGCTGCACCGAGACGCAGCAGTGATGGTGGGGCATTGATGACTCTGCCGACCTGAGATCTCGGCGTCACGGCCAAAAACACGCACCAAAAACAATGAAAAAAGAAGAAGATAGAGCTGTACAGGTGAGAAAGATGCAAAAACCCAAGGCTTAACACGAGCGATTGTGGGGGAGAAACTGTCTTAGCGTCATACTATTCATAGGGAATCGACTGCCCAGAGCCAGTTTGTGCTGCGAAGATGGCGGTAAACATTCGTTTTGAATGATTGCATTCTCTTGCTGTGGGGAGGCTGGGATAGGAGAGCGGCAGGGAGGGAGTTCCAATCGCTGATGCTGCAGTGTGGGAACGAGCGCTTCAGTGCCAGCGGGGCAGATGCAGGCAGCTGGTGTTGGAGCTGGTGGTCATGGCCACTGACAGCACCGTGCTCGCTGCGAGTTCTGGGGTTGGTAGAGATGATGTGGCGTGGTGGCAACACAGAGAGCAGCTGCGGAGGACCAGGCAAGTAGTGCAGCTTGTACAGGCAGGCAAGCGAGGCAACAGTGCGGCGGATGGCCAGGCTGGGTAGGTGTGCCCCAGGGCCGATAGCATGAAGCGCGCGGCGCTGAACATTGTTCAGACGCTGGAGGTGACTCTGCGCAGCTCCCATCCATACAAGAGGCGCATACTCCATGACTGGTCGTACGAACGCCTTGTATACGGTCGTCCGGCCGGCGGGGGTGAGTATGTGGGCGGCTCTGTTTAGGACCCCAAGCCGTTGGCGTGCACGGGTGGCTACGGAGCGTAGGTGATCGCTGAAGGTCAACTTGGCGTCCACCTTCACACCAAGGAGGGTGATGGTAGTTGTCTCGGGCACCAGTGTGCCACCAAACAGGAGTGGGGGGAGATCTAAGCCGGTGCGTCTGAGGGTGGCTGTCATGGCCTGGGATTTGGTCGGTTCAAACATCACTTTCCATGTACGACCCCACTCGTGCAGTCGGTCAACGGACACCTGCAGTGACTGCGCGGCGACTGTTGGGGTCTGCTGGGAGGTGACTAAGCTGTACAAAGTTGTATCACCAGCATAGGCTTCCAAGCTGGCGCCGTCAGCGAGAACATCTGGCGCGTCGTTGACGTAGGCCAGGAAAAGCGTTGGTCCAAGGGAGATATGAGATGAACTAATTCATTTTTGCTGATCAAACCTTTTACGATAATGTAAGTTGAAAACATGTGCTTGACCGTTATTGTGATAGGTAGTGTATATACACCTTCCTCAGGGTTTTCAGACTCCACTGTAGCAACTTCATGTTTCACACAGTTATACACCACTACCCAAAAGAGGTCTCTCGGGTATAGTGTGTAGACTATGTAATCGTGACATGTAATATAGTGGACACACAAGTAGCCATGTTCTTTGTTTGTTAGTTGCTGAAATTTCACTTGTTATAGAGGGGAAAGGCACCACTTCACTATGTCAATGGCGAACGTCATATCGACTGTATGCGGCATCTCTCAACAGCAAAGCCAATCCAAACCTTTCCGATAATTTAAGTTGATGAACATTCTGTTCTACAATTATTGTGATATGTAGTATAGAGACTATGTCATGTACAGACAATATTGTGGGCACACAAGTACATGTGACTGAGAACTTCTCTGTCTGATTTGTAAAATATACTGCAGTAATCACACCATCAGAGTGATACACCAGTGATGGAAATCAGAATAGGTTTTCTTTTGTTAATCACTGTTTGTACCTATGACTGTGTCACAGGATAAACGGACACCACTTCACTGTGCCACTATTCAGGACAGAGCCGACTGCGTTCTGCATCTACTGCGTGCTGGAGCTAACCCAGATCAAGGAGATAAGGCAGGTTATGGAACAGCCATTTCAATATACTCAGCTAATACATTCCCTGCAAACTAACTGTATGAAGAAATCAAGGACTATTTTGGTAAACTGCTGGAAAAGTTCTCAATGTGCCGGGCGAAGAGCTTTTTTGACAATGATTATTCCCCATTTTTTTATGCCAATTGTCTGATGACTTCTTCGGCATGAAAATTAAATCAAAACAGCTCCTGATTGGACCCTTCGCTGTTTCATTGAAAACTGTTATGTGAGGGAATCAGTATGTGCCCTAACTCCGAGCGTCATATTGCTGGTTGTGCGAATGAGGTTAGTCGGAGAGCAAATTTTGGTGATGACTTTGGAAGTGGTTGTGAGACTTATCCACTCACCCCACCGTTAGGCGCTGCATCTGCCGCTAGGGTTTACCGGGTGTTAACGGCCGTCGTGAGCTCCCTTCGGGAACGGACACGATAATTTACTTTTGTTTTGTTTTTTGGAAGTCTTCTGGAATCAACAGGCTCAAAACTGTCACTTGCCCAGCTTCATATTGTATCATCCACAGACGAACATGTGGTATACAATATGTACTATCATTTCTCATAGTAATCCATGTTCTTTGTTGGTTACTTGCTGAACATATACACTTATGTTATAGTATGGACAGACACCACTTCACTATGCCAGTGAGCAGGTTCGTATCGACTGCATGCGGCATCTACTGGACAGCAAAGCCAATCCAAACCAACCTGACGAGGTAAGTTGCATCTCATGACGCATTAACAAGCAAAAACCGTGAAACTCCTACCCTTTGCTACCAAGGTCTTAACCACTGCACAATTCTCAACAGGAACACTGGGATGTGAAGGGGAGATATGAGATGAACTAATTCATTTTTGCTGATCCAAACCTTTTACAATAATGTAAGTTGAAAACATGTGCTCGACCGTTATTGTGATAGGTAGTGTATATACACCTTCCTCAGGGTGTTCAGACTCCACTGTAGCAACTTCATGTTTCACACAGTTATACACCACTACCCAAAAGAGGTCTCTCGGGTATAGTGTGTAGACTATGTAATCGTGACATGTAATGATAGTGGACACACAAGTAGCCATGTTCTTTGTTTGTAAGTTTCTGAACATTCACTTGTGTTATAGTGGGGAAAGGCACCACTTCACTATGTCAGTGGCCAGTGTCATATCGACTGTATGCGGCATCTACTGGACAGCAAAGCCAATCCAAACCTTTCCGATAGTTTAAGTTGATGAACATGCTGTTGTACTATTATTGTGATAGATAGTGTAGAGTCCATGTCATGTACATACAGCACAAGTACATGTGACTGAGAACTTCTCTGTCTGATTTGTAAAATATACTGCAGTAATCACACCATCAGAGTGATACACCAGTGATGGAAATCAGAATAGGTTTTCTTTTGTTAATCACTTCTTGTACCTATGACTGTATCACAGGATAAACGGACACCACTTCACTATGCCACTATTGAGAACAAGGCCGACTGCGTTCTGCATCTACTGCGAGCTGGAGCTAACCCAGATCAAGGAGATAAGGCAGGTTATGGAACAGACATTTCAATATACTCTGCTAATGCATTTCCTGAAAACTAACTGTATGAAGAAATCAAAGACTAGGCTGGTAAACTGCTGGGGAAAGTGCTCAATGTGCCGGTTGAGGAGCTTTTTTCACAATGATTATTCCCCATTTTTTTATGCCAATTGTCCGATGACTGCTTTGGCATGAAAATTGAATCACAACAGCTCCTGTTTGGACCCTTCTCTCTTTCATTGAAAACTGTTATCTGAAGAAATCAGTATGTGCCCTAACTCCAAGCGTCGTGTTGTTGGTTGTGAGAATGAGGTTAGTCGAAGAGCACATTTGGTGATGACTTTGGAAGTCTTCTGGAATCAACAGGCTCAAAGCTGTCACTTGCCCTGCTTCATATTTTATCCTCCACAGACAAACATGTGGTATACAATGTGTACTATCATTTCTCATAGTCAGCCATGTTCTTTGTTGGTTACTTGCTGAACATATACTTATGTTATTGTGTGGAGGGACACCACTTTATACATTTCCATAGCCGGCATAGGTTGGCAATGACTCGCAAAATTAATATCATGAATAAATCTTATGAGATTGAAAAACACACTTACCCAAAGCAGTTTTGGTGAAAGCACCGGGGCCAGGGTGTTAAGCAGGTACACGGTTATCTGTATCTATAAAATTCTCCATACCACACTGCTGGAACGGAATGACTAGCACGCTGCCCAGGCCGTACCTCTTCTCTTCAACGCAATCAATGAGCGCCAGAGATTTGCCGTATTCAGAATTCTGGCACGCAGACAATTCCACAGCCAGATACCTGCGATGAGCGATTCGTCGGCCGTGAAGAGGGGCACTGAACGACCTCTTCGCGGGAGTCGAATCCATTGGTGTTGGTGGTAGAGATCGCCCTTTCCGATTTTCAGGAACTCGATCGATCGTTTCACCTTGCGAAACGTCACCCTCCTCGGCTTCTTGAATCGTCCAGTATGCAGAATGCGAAGCTGCGTCGTGGGTGACGGATTACTCTCCCGTTTCCTTATCTCCACGACACGTCGGCAGGAGAACCAAGCTATCCAAAAACCGCCGATGTCAAAACCAATCCGCAAGTGCACTGGTGGCTGAGCTTCTTCCTCAAATCTTATCTCAACTCGAGCTAGCACGCGCTGCGAGTTCAATGTTCAAACTACTAATACACTCTTGATCTATTTGATCGCGTCCCACTTTTCCACTCCGAAAGGCATTATTTTTCAGAAAAAATTGAAAATCCAACATGGCGTTAACCGTCGCGAACCCCCTTGAGATGCAACTCACCTTGTCAGGTTGGTTTGGATTGACGTTGCTGTCCAGTTGATACCGCATACAATCGATACAACCCTGCTCATTGGCATAGTGAAGTGGTGGTTATTGTGGTAGGTAGTGTAGAGACTATGTCATGTACAGACAGTATTGTGGGCACACAAGTACATGTGACTGAGAACTTCTCTGTCTGATTTGTGAAATATACTGCAGTAATCACACCATCAGAGTGATACACCAGTTTTCCCCTGAGTTATGCAAGTCGGAAGACGTTTTCTTTTGTTCATCACTGCTTCAACTTATTGCTGTACTACAGGATAAACGGACGCCACTTCACTATGCCACTATTGAGAACAACACCGACTGCGTTCTGCATCTACTGCAAGCTGGAGCTAACGCAGATCAAGGAGATAAGGCAGGTTAAGGAACAGCCATTTCAATATACTCTGCTAATGCATTTCCTGAAAACAAAGTGTATGAAGAAATCAAAGATTATGCTGGTAAACTGCTGGAAAAGTGCTAAATGTGCCGGGCGAGGTGCTTTTTTCACAATGATTATTCCCCATTTTTCAATGCCAATTGTCTCATGACTTCTTCGGCATGAAAAATATGTCACAGCAGATCTCGAGTGTATCCCTCTCTCTTTCTTTCATTGAAAACTGTTATTTGAAGAAATCAGTATGTGCCCTAACTCCAAGTGTCATGTTGCTGGTTTTATTAATGAGGTTAGTCGGCGACCACATTTGGTGGAAGACTTTGGAAGTCTTCTGGAGTCAACAGGCTCAAAACTGTCACTTGCCCTGCTTCATATCGTATCCTCCACATGCGAACATGTGGCGTACAATGTGTACTATCATTTCTCATAGTAAGCCATGTTCTTTGTTGGTTACTTGCTGAACATACACTTATGTTTTAGTATGGAAAGACACAACTTCACTATGCCAGTGAGCAGGGTCGTATCGACTCTGTGCGGCATCTACTGGACAACAAAGCCAATCCAAACCAACCTGACGAGGTGAGGTGCATATCATGAAGCATTTTGATGAAAGGGCAAAACAGTGAAATTGCTACCCTGTGCTGCAATGGTCTTAACCACTTCACAATTCTCCACAGGAACACTGGGATGTGAAGGGGAGATATGAAATGAACTAATTCATTTTTGCTGATACAAACCTTTTACGCACTCGTAACCATGTATAAACAATTAAAATGAAACAATTCCAGAACAGTTTCGTGTGACTATCATCAGTGGAACATCGTCACATAATAAGAGTCACTAAAACAACGAGTGATATAGCTAGAATATGAAAATAAGCGTGAGTATGCAGCACAGCTAGCGGTTATGCATAACGCGTGTAGTGTGAACCTTTGCATTGTATCTGAGAATGGTAGCAGTAGATAAATGTGGCAGCTGTGAGTGCGTGTGGACAAAACTTGTGAGTGCGTATTATTTAAAAAGTGTGAGTGCTACAACATTTTCTTTTTGCTTGCATAGAACAGGGTCACGTGTGCGAATATATACAGCTTCCAACACCTGCAACTGCTTAAAGAAACGTGCGCAACAAATAACACTAAACCAGGAATCATCAAACAACTTACGACAATCCGGAATGGACACCAAATGCTTGTAGATGGCAGACTTGCTCTTGTCGATGTCGAACTCCTCCGCGTCAGTGTCACTCTCATCCTCCACTTCCTGTTCCTGTTCACCCTTGCTTTCCTCCTTACCATCCTGTTCATCCCCATCATCATCCTCCATCTCCATCTCCTCATGCCATCGCTTCTTTCTCCTTGACGCGTTCACTGCTGCGCCCGTACTTTCATCTGCCGCTACTGGTTCCGCCTTCTCGATTTTTCTCAGTCGTGTCTCCGCTAGGCTCTGGTTTCTCCTCAGATTCGTGTTTCCTCCATTTTCGTTTCGTTCTCCTCGTGATCTTTCCGTTACCGCCGTCGGGTTTGTTAACGAACGATCGTCCGGCGGTCTCCCATGCCGTGGTGTTGTCGTCAAGAGTGACACCAGATTCATGTGTTGCGCTCCTGTTGATTCCGGTGTTGTATCCGTTCCTGGTTGTGTTGTAATACTGACAGGCAAAGTAGTAGGCAACGGGTGTTTACGTGGCCTCCCACGCTTTGGCCTGCTTGCCCTGGACGCTTTTGACAACAAGGACAATGGGACGTGTTGCTTGATACGTTCGGACAAGTGTTGAAGCGTCCTACCAACATACCGACTACCGCACTGTCGGCATTCAAAATGATAAATGAGGTTACTCAAATGATGGGTCGGCAGGACGTCCTTCAACACCGTGAACGAAAGTATCGTGGTGAAGACAGTTGCTACATTCACTGCATAGTACGTCTTCTGGACAATAGACTTGACAATACGACTGACCTTTGTCGACTCCGCGCCTTTCCAAGGCAGGCACAGGAAGACATGACAAGGAGCGGGGCCGATTGTCAGTTCCTCACGGGGCGCATTGTTCGTGAGTAGTTTCGCTAACAGTGATGATGGATATCCGTTCTTGAGAAAGACAGAGCGAAGGAAATCAAGTTCCGCTTGCAATTTACTCTCGGAGCAAATGCGTCTTGCCCTGTCAGCTAAGTTTCAGACTAGATTGGTCTTGTATTGCGAAGAGCAATATGAATCGTACATAATATACTGACCAGTGAATGTAGGCTTACGATACACCGATGTCACAACACCCTCACATGTCTTTTCCACGAGTACATCTAAAAACGACAATTTGTTGCATTCCTCGTGTTCGCATGTGAAGCGTAATGCAGGGTGGACATCATTAAAACTCATTAAGAAAGGCTTCACTGTTACGTCTTGATTCGAAATAGGTAAATGAGTCGTCCACAAATCGAACGTACAACTGAGGCCACTTTATTTTATCCATTCTCGATTCGCAATATCCAACGAAGACATTTGCCAGTACCGGGCCCAACGGAGACCCCATCGCCACACCGTCCGTCTGCTTATACATAACATCACCAAACGAGAACTCTACGCCACTCGTCACCATCAGCATCAAACGTCGAAATATGGGCTGTACAGCCCATATGTGCTCTTTCGATGTTGTAAGCTTGTTTACAAACGTACCACTAGACGAGACAATAGATATCTGCGCGCGAAGACTATACCACAATGATGATGACATTGATCTTCCATGGTTACCGGAGACGGCATTTCGACGTTTGATACTGATGGTGACGAGTGGCGTAGAGTTCTCGTTTGGTGATGTTATGTATAAGCAGACCGACGGTGTGGCGATGGGGTCTCCGTTGGGCCCGGTACTGGCAAATGTCTTCGTTGGATATTGCGAATCGAGAATGGATAAAATAAAGTGGCCTCAGTTGTACGTTCGATTTGTGGACGACTCATTTACCTATTTCGAATCAAGACGTAACGGTGAAGCCTTTCTAAATGAGTTGAATGATGTCCACCCTGCATTACGCTTCACATGCGAACACGAGGATTGCAAAAATTGTCGTTTTTAGATGTACTCGTGGAAAAGACATGTGAGGGTGTTGTGACATCGGTGTATCGTAAGCCTACATTCACTGGTCAGTATATTATGTACGATTCATATTGCTCTTCGCAATACAAGACCAATCTACAGTCAACTTCGCCAATAACGACATTCGGCGGGGCATCAGAAAAGTGTCCTTATTCGCGAAGTGTCCTTATAACCGAAGTCCCATTTGAATGTATGTGAACCCATATTTTGTATAGTATGATATGCATATCAAAATCAAGCTCTTTTCTTGCTCTATGTCAATGTGTACTTTATTTTCATATTGCAGTTGAAAGGAACTGAAAATTCAATATGCAAGGGAAATCAATTGAAAAAAAATATGCCTTTTTGAGCCATCTACAGGGCCAGAGACATGTACATGTATGATGATTACTGTACAATCATGTACAACTACATGTACATTGTATACATATAGGTGTGCTGGTAAATCCAACAATTTTGAAGCCAACATAAAAAAGGAAGAAAAGCCCCCCCCCCCCCTTGGCTGCATTTTCTTGCATGTGTGCAATTATCCATCACAGGTGCACCATAGGTTCTGGTACTTCTGCATGACAGGTACATGTACATGTACTTGACTGACAGGTACTTGAAATAGCTGTCAAAAGCCCAGAAAGTCGTTATTCAAGCAGTGGATATGACCACGGGGCACTAAAAGCATGTCGCTATACGCGAATTGTCGTTATTCAGCTAGTCGTTATATCCGAAGTTAAATGTATACAGTTAGATGGGACTTTGCTCTGGGCATGGAAATTCGGTCGTTATTCGCGAATTGTCGTTATATCCGCAGTCGTTATTAGCGAAGTTGACTGTAGTCCGAAACTTAGCTGACAGGGCAAGACACATTTGCTCCGAGAGTAAATTGCAAGCGGGACTTGATTTCCTTCGCTCTGTCTTTCTTAAGAACGGATATCCATCATCACTGTTAGCGAAACTACTCACGAACAATGCGCCCCGTAAGGAACTGACAATCGGCCCGGCTCCTTGTCATGTCTTCCTGTGCCTGCCTTGGAAAGGCGCGGAGTCGACAAAGGTCAGTCGTATTGTCAAGTCTATTGTCCAGAAGACGTACTATGCAGTGAATGTAGTAACTGTTTCACCACGATAAGTTCGTTCACGGTGTTGAAGGACGTCCTGCCGACCCATCATTTGAGTAACCTCATTTATCATTTTGAATGCCGACAGTGCGGTAGTCGGTATGTTGGCAGGACGCTTCAACACTTGTCCGAACGTATCAAACAACACGTCCCATTGTCCTTTTTGTCAAAAGCGGCCAGGGCAAGCAGGCCAAAGCGTGGGAGGCCACGAAAACACCCGTTGCCTACTACTTCGCCTGTCAGTATTACAACACAACCAGGAACGGATACAACACCGGAATCAACAGGAGCGCAACACATGAATCTGGTGTCACTCTTGACGACAACACCACGGCATGGGAGACCGCCGGACGATCGTTCGCTAACAAACCCGACGGCGGTAACGGAAAGATCACGAGGAGAACGAAACGAAAATGGAGGAAAAACGAATCTGAGGAAAAACCAGAGACTAGCGAGGACACGACTGAGAAAAATCGAGAAGGCGGACCCAGTAGTGGCAGGTGAAAGTACGGGCGCAGCAGTGAACACGGCAAGGAGAAGGAAGCGATGGCATGGGGAGATGGAGATGGAGGATGATGATGGGGATGAACAGGAACAGGAAGTGGAGGATGAGAGTGATACTGACGCGGAGGAGTTCGACATCGACAAGAGCAAGTCTGCCATCTACAAGCATTTGATGTCCAGTCCGGATTGTCGTAAGTTGTTTGATGATTCCTGGTTTAGTGTTATTTGTTGCGCACGTTTCTTTAAGCAGTTGCAGGTGTTGGAAGCTGTATATATTCGCACACGTGACCCTGTTCTATGCAAGCAAAAAGAAAATGTTGTAGCACTCACACTTTTTAAATAATACGCACTCACAAGTTTTGTCCACACGCACTCACAGCTGCCACATTCATCCACTGTAACCATTCTCAGATACACTGCAAAGGTTCACACTACACGCGTTATGCATAACCGCTAGCTGTGCTGCATTCTCACGCTTATTTTCATATTCTAGCTATATCACTGGTTGTTTTAGTGACTCTTATTATGTGACGATGTTCCACTGATGATAGTCACACGAAACTGTTCTGGAATTGTTTCATTTTAATTGTTTATACATGTTTATACATGGTTACGAGTGCCCAATTGATATTTTTCATTGCTATTTTACGACTGTTGTCTCCTTGTCGGTTATTCAAACCTCTTACGTTAATGTAAGTTGAAAACATGCGCTTGACCGTTATTGTGATAGGTAGTGTATATACACCTTCCTCAGGGTATTCAGACTCCACTGTAGCAACTTCATGTTTCACACAGTTATACACCACTACCCAAAAGAGGTCTCTCGGGTGTAGTGTGTAGACTATGTAATCGTGACATGTAATATAGTGGACACACAAGTAGCCATGTTCTTTGTTTCTTAGTTGCTGAACGATCACTTGTGTTATAGTGGGGAAAGGCACCACTTCACTATGTCAGTGGCCAGGGTCATATCGACTGTATGCGGCATTTACTGGACAGCAAAGCCAATCCAAACCAACCTGACAAGGTAAGTTGCATCTCATGAAGCATTAACAAACAACACTGTGAAATTGCGATCCTGTGCTGCAATGGTACACCTTCCTCAGGATGTTCAGACTCCACTGTAGCAACTTCATGTTTCACACAGTTATACACCACTACCCAAAAGAGGTCTCTCGGGTGTAGTGTGTAGACTATGTAATCGTGACATGTAATTTAGTGGACACATAAGTAGCCATGTTCTTTGTTTCTTAGTTGCTGAACATTCACTTGTGTTATAGTGGGGAAAGGCACCAATTCACTATGTCAGTGGCCAGGGTCATAACGACTGTATGCAGCATCTCTCGACAGGAAAGCCAGTCTAAACCTTTCCGATAATGTAAATTGATGAACATTCTGTTCTACAATTATTGTGATAGGTAGTGTAGAGACTATGTCATGTACAGACAGTATTGTGGGCACACAAGTACATGTGACTGAGAACCGTGCTCTGTCTGATTTGTAAAATATACTGCAGTAATCACACCATCAGATTGATACACCAGTTTTTCCCTGAGTGCTGGAACTCAGAAGAAGTTATCTTTTGTCTATCACTGCTTCAACCTATTGCTGTATCTCAGGATGAACGAGCACCACTTCACTATGCCGTTATTGGGAACAAGACCGACTGCGTTCTGCATCTACTGCAAGCTGGAGCTAACCCAGATCTAGGACATAAGGCAGGTTATGGAACAGACATTTGAATACCGAACTCACTCAATTAGAAGCCGGGGGCTACTATTTTTCAATACCAATTTCGAGGAGGCTTCTATTCAAGGGGGGGGGGGCTTCTATTCGAGAGGGGCTTTTATTGTTTCATTCCATGCTGGTATTCCTATCGAATCTCTAAAACTTTCATATTCAAAGCAACTCGGCCCCGAGTTAGTTTGCACACACTACATCGACCAGGACTTGTACCAATAGGAACATGCACGAGATGTTTTTTTTCAGACTTCACCTTCATACATGGCACTACCTGGTCACCCCATGCTTTGCGAATAGTAGTCCGGGCTTCTATTCGAGAGGGGCTTGTATTTTTTCAAACAGTCCTTGCAGGGGGGCTATTATTCAAGAGGGGCTTTTATTCGAGAGGGGCTTCGAATCAAGTGAGTACGGTATACTCTGCTAATGCATTTCCTGAAAACTAACTGTATGAAGAAATCAAAGACTAGGCTGGTAAACTGCTGGGGAAAGTGCTCAATGTGCTGGAGGCAGAGCTTTTTTCACAATGATTATTCCCCATTTTTTTAATGCCAATTGTCTGATGACTGCTTTGGCATGAAAATTGAATCACAACAGCTCCTGTTTGGACCCTTTGCTCTTTCATTGAAAACTGTTATGTGAAGAAATCAGTATGTGCCCTAACTCCGAGTGTCATGTTGTTAGTTGTGTGAATGAGGTTAGTCGGAGAGCACATTTGGTGATGAGTTTGGAAGTTTTCTGGAATCAACAGGCTCAAAGCTGTCACTTGCCCTGCTTCATATTGTATCCTCCACAGACAAACATGTGGTATACAATGTGTACTATCATTTCTCATAGTAAGCCATGTTCTTTGTTGGTTACTTGCTGAACATATACTTATGTTATTGCATGGAGGGACACCACTTTATACATTTCCATAGCCGGCATAGGTTGGCAATGACTCGCAAAATTAATATCATGAATAAATCTTATGGGATTGAAAACCACACTTACCCAAAGCAGTTTTGGTGAAAGCACCGGGGCCAGGGTGTTAAGCAGGTACACGGTTATCTGTATCTATAAAATTCTCCATACCACACTGCTGGAACGGAATGACTAGCACGCTGCCCAGGCCGTACCTCTTCTCTTCAACGCAATCAATGAGCGCCAGAGGTTTGCCATATTCAGAATTCTGGCACGCAGACAATCCCACAGCCAGATACCTGAGATGAACGATTCGTCGGCCGTGAAGAGGGGCACTGAACGACCTCTTCGCGGGAGTCGAATCCATTGGCGTTGGTGGTAGAGATCGCCCTTTCCGATTTTCAGGAACTCGATCGATCGTTTGACCTTGCGAAACGTCACCCTCCTCGGCTTCTTGAATCGTCCAGTATGCAGAATGCTAGGCCGCGTCGTGGGTGACGGATTACTCTCCCGCTTCCTCATCTCCACGACACGTCGGCAGGAGAACCAAGCTATCCAAAAACCGCCGATGTCAAAACCAATCCGCAAGTGCACTAGTGGCTGAGCTTCTTCCTCAAATCTTATATCAACTCGAGCTAGCACGCGCTGCGAGTTCAATGTTCAAACTACTCCGCGTCATTAAAATTGTCGCTTCCCAGAGCGATTTTTCGAAACTTATTTTGTCCACTCGAAGGGCAAAGAAATCAGCTAGAAATTGAGGCAGACTAGAGCATTGTCGACGGGCCAAGCTTTAGTTTGTGACCTCCGCTTCGCTGCACTTGCAGCTAAGGTCGACGTCTTCATCAGAGTTTGAGGCAGACCCTTCAGCACTCAACAATACGCTGAACAAGACGCGCGTTCAAATTCAGGTCAAGAAACTTCGTTTTCAGGCGATCCATGCCTCCAGTTGCCAGACGATGAAGGCAAGCTAGCATTTTTCTAGTACACTGTAACGACCTTCCAGCGGGCAGGGTAAGCAGTTCTGCACCTTCTTTCTTTGGCAAGCGCTTCGCTGATATTGTTGGTGTTTTGAGACCTGCTACCTTCGCAGCAACATGCGCCACAAGTAGCGCATTTTAGGAATTTGAGACCACTTTGTTCTTGCCATCGCCAACTAACTTCAGCAGTTCGTATTCAGGAGAGATACCAGGATTCTTATACCCGAGCTTGCAGTCTTGACAAATGCCCACGCGAACGATGTGGGACGGCACGAACTCCAGAAAACGAAATGCGCTCGGGGGCGGAATAGTGCGGAGCGCGATGAATTTACTTGGTGCGGAAGAGAGCTCCGACAAAGTTCGAACCCACCACGGCTTCAGTGACAAGTAGACATTGTGCAGGAAGGGTCACACCAGTACAGTGTTCGAACACAGAAAACAGCGATTTCGACAGTCTGACTAAGACGAGCCAAGTCACAAATATTGAGCTGTGCGAAGCGACAATTTTAATGACGCGGGGGAAGTACTAATACACTCTTGATCTTTTTGATCGCGTCTCATTTTTCCACTCCGAAAGGCATTATTTTTCAGAAAAAATTGGAAATCCAACATGGCGTTAACCGTCGTGAACCCCCGTGAGATGCAACTCACCTTGTCAGGTTTGTTTGGATTGACGTTGCTGTCCAGTTGATACCGCATACAATCGATACGACCCTGCTCATTGGCATAGTGAAGTGGTGGTTATTGTGATAGGTAGTGTAGAGACTATGTCATGTACAGACAGTATTGTGGGCACACAAGTACATGTGACTGAGAACTTCTCTGTCTGATTTGTAAAATATACTGCAGTAATCACACCATCAGAGTGATACACCAGTGATGGAAATCAGAATAGGTTTTCTTTTGTTAATCACTTCTTGTACCTATGACTGTGTCACAGGATAAACGGACACCACTTCACTATGCCACTATTGAGAAAAACACCGACTGCGTTCTGCATCTACTGCAAGGTGGAGCTAACCCAGATCAAGGAGATGAGGCAGGTTATGGAATAGACATTTCAATATACTCTGCTAATGCATTTCCTGAAAACTAACTGTGTGAAGAAATCAAAGACTATGCTGGTAAACTGCTGGAAAAGTGTTCAATGTGCCGGGCGAAGAGCTTTTTTCACAATGATTTATCCCCATTTTTTAATGCCAATTGTCTCATGACTTCTTCGGCATGAAAAATATGTCACAGCAGATCCCGAGTGTATCCCTCTCTCTCTCTTTCATTGAAAACTGTTATGTGAAGACATCAGTACGTGCCCTAACTCCGAGTGTCATATTGCTGGTTTTGTGAATGGGATTAGTCGGTGAGCACATTTGGTGATGACTTTGGAAGTCTTCTGGAATCAACAGGCTCAAAGCTGTCACTTGCCCTGCTTCATATTGTATCCTCCACAGACGAACATGTGGCATACAATGTGTACTATCATTTCTCATAGTAAGCCATGTTCTTTGTTGATTACTTGCTGAACATACACTTATGTTTTAGTATGGAAGGACACCACTCCACTATGCCAGTCAGCGGGGTTATATCGATTGTATGCGGCATCTACTGGACCACAAAGCCAATCCAAACCAACGTGACAAGGTGAGTTGCATATTATGGAGTATTAACAAACAAACGTGTGAAATTGCTACCCTGTGCTGAAAGGGTATTAACCACTGCACAATTTTGTCGGAAAAATGGGATGTGAAGGAGAGCCATGAGATGAACTAATTCATTTTTGGTGATCCAAACCTTTTACGATAATGTAAGTGGAAAACATGTGCTTGACCGTTATTGTGATAGGTAGTGTATATACACCTTCCTCAGGGTGTTCAGACTCCACTGTAGCAACTTCATGTTTCACACAGTTATACACCACTACCCAAAAGAGGTCTCTCGGGTATAGTGTGTAGACTATGTAATCATGACATGAAATATAGTGGACACACAAGTAGCCATGTTCTTTGTTGGTTAGTTGCTGAACATTCACTTGTGTTATAGTGGGGAAAGGCACCAATTCACTATGTCAGTGGCCAGGGTCATATCGACTGTATGCAGCATCTCTCGACAGGAAAGCCAGTCTAAACCTTTCCGATAATTTAAGTTGATGAACATTCTGTTCTACGATTATTGTGATAGGTAGTGTAGAGACTATGTCATGTACAGACAGTATTGTGGGCACACAAGTACATGTGACTGAGAACTTCTCTGTCTGATTTGTAAAATATACTGCAGTAATCACACCATCAGAGTGATACACCAGTGATGCAAGTCATAATAGGTTTTCTTTTGTTAATCACTGCTTGTACCTATGGCTGTATCACAGGATAAATGGACACCACTTCACGATGCCACTCTTAAGAACAGACCCGACTGCGTTCTGCATCTACTGCAAGCTGGAGCTAACCCAGATCTAGGAGATAAGGCAGGTTATGGAACAGACATTTCAATATACTCTGCTGATGCATTTCCTGCAAACTAACTATGAAGAAATCAAGGACTATGTTGGTAAACTGCTGGGGAAAGTGCTCAATGTGCCGGGCGAGGTGCTTTTTTCACAATGATTATTCCCCATTTTTTCATGCCAGTTGTTTGATGACTTCTTCGGCTTGAAAATTAAATCACAACAGCTCCTGATTGGACCCTTCTCTCTTTCATTGAAAGAATTTATGTCAGGAAATCAGTATGTGCCCTAACTCCGAGTGTCATGTTGCTGGTTGTGTGAGTGAGGTTAGTCGGAGGGCACATTTGGTGATGCCTTTGGAAGTCTTCTGGAATCAACATTCTCAAAGCTGTCACTTGCCCTGCTTCATAATTGTATCCTCTGCAGACGAACATGTGGTATACAATGTGTACTATCATTTCTCATAGTAAGCCATGTTCTTTGTTAATTACTTGCTGAACATACACTTGTGTTATAGTATGGAAAGACACCACTTCACTATGCCAGTGAGCGGGGTCATACCAAGTGTATGCAGTATCTACTGGACAGCAAAGCAAATCTAAACCAACGTGACAAGGTAAGTTGCTTTTCATGAAGCATAATCAAACAAAACTAGCTAGCGAGCACCCCTCTAAACACATGATAAGTATTGATTAGTCAACACAATAACACATGCTATTGAGTGCATTGCAATCCATGCGGTTACATCTACTGACTTTGTACATTTACGATTTCGGCACTGCCTTGGTATCAGACAGGTAGGCATAGTGGGATGGTCATATTTTGGAACTGCATATTATATTCTGCTCTTTAGACCTTGAGGGTAGTACGCATGCGGAAAACTCAGGTTGGCCCGGTCTCACACGAACCGTGTCTTTTTGTCTCACAACTGTATTTCATTTTTCTCGGAGATATGATAGCAATTATCGTTAGAAACACAACCAATCGACTACCAACAAATACCGATTTGTTTTGACAGAAACGTTTTTCTCCAGAATTTAACAGTGACTACTTCTGGTGTGTATTTTACGTGACACAATATATTGGGCCACAACCAGCTAAAACATGTCTTAGAGTGAAATTTTTCAAATTTTGTTTCCTCCAGAAAACAGTTCTTGGGACCTTACTTGACCTCTGGAAGGTGATACAGGGCAGAAAAATAGTCTACAAGTGCTCGAAACACCGCTTTCAAAATATGTACTTTGAAATAGAAAATGACAGTTTTCGCACAGGCTGACACAAAGAGACAAACTATTACTTAGTGGCTTTTGTGGCGGAGCACAATACAACGGAACTAAAGATGTTGACACCGACTTGAGCATGTCAACGACATCAGTTCAAAGGCATGGCCCAAGTTCTTCCTGGAAAGCAACACGATGCTCTGGGCGGCGTTGCACTTGCATACTCTTTCGATTCTGGCAGTGACACTTTCGATCGTCGCCTGCGTTTCCGAGACTGCGTCAGACGCCTCATGAGAGCTGAACGCAAGTAACGTCGTAAGGCAGCCGGTTCGCCGCCTAAATGATTATGTACTAGCCCACAACTTGTGCCTCTTCGCTTACTGGAGACGACGGGGACGATTCAGCTTCGCTGTCGACATCAACATCACTGAGATCCCAACAAATTGTCAGCGTCGCTCTGCAGACCCACCGCCACGGACCTGCAGACACCTGAACAAACCTGGGCCATGCACAGCGATCGTCTGGCCCTGCGAGCTGCTCTAGTATCACTAGATTGTCAGTCTTTGCTCGCCAGCTATTTGAACTAGACCGCCAAACAGGTGTTTGAACAAAATTTGAGAAGATGATCGCCACTTCATGAATCATTTGAATGAAGTGCAGAGTGAACGCCCTCCAAAAAAACATTTTTTTCATTTCGTCATTTCCCAACTTTTTTTACGAAACCCCAAAGACATGCTTTAGCTGATCGCGGCCCAAATTATTATCTTGTTACAATGGAATCCTGTTCCATCCTTTTTTGGGGTCAATTTTTAATATTTTTCTGTTCCAGGATGGCAACACTCCATTGGACATTGTGGCAATGAAGGATACACTGCATGTTTTGAAGTATCTATTCCCCTACGTAGATGAGACAACAAAGCATCAAGTAAGACACAAGCGCTTTTATAGTTTTACAGAAAGCAATGTTCCAGTTGATAAGATAGCAGGGTTTACACTGGTTGGGACCGATTTCCCTAGGTGGGATGACCATTGTACCTGGGTGGGATGACCATTGTACCTGGGTGGAATGACCACTGCCCCTGGGTGAGATGACCACTGTCCCTGGGTGCGATCATCCCTGCCTCTCGGTGGGTTCACGACTGCCCCTGTATGAGATGACCACTGTCCCTTGGTGGGATCACCCCTGACTCTCGGTGGGTTCACGGCTGCCCCTGGGTGGGATGACCACCGTGTCCCTGGGTGGATCACCCCTACCTTTTGGTGAGTTCACAACTGCCCCTTGGTGAGATGACCACCGTGTCCCTGGGTGGGATCACCCCTGCCTCTCGGTGGGTTCACGACTGTCCCTTGGCGAGATGACCACTGTCCCTGGGTGGGATCACCCCTGCCTCTTGGTGGGTTCACGACTGCCCTGGGTGAGATGACCACTGTCCCTAGGTGGGATCACCCCTGCCTCTCGGTGGGTTCACGACTGCCCCTGGGTGAGATGAAAACTGTCCATGGGTGGTATCACTCCTGCCTCTCCGTGAGTTCACGACTGCCCCTGGGTGAGATGACCACCGTGTCCCTGGGTGGGATCACCCCTGCCTCTCGGTGGGTCCACGACTGCCCCTGGGTATGATGACCACTGTCCCTGGGTGGGATCACCCCTGCCTCTTGGTGGTTTCACGACTGCCCCTGGGTAAGATGACCACTGTCCCGGGTTGGGATCACACGTCGCTCACGTTGTGTTCACGACTGCCCCTGGGTGAGATGAACACTGTCGCTGAGTGGAATCACCCCTGCCTCTTGGTGGGTTCACGACTGCCCCTGGGTGAGATGACCATTGTCCCTAGTTGGGATCACCCCTGCCTCTCGGTGGGTCCACGACTGCCCCTGGGTGAGATGACCACTGTCCCTGGGTGGGAACACCCCTCCCTCTTGGTTGTTTCACGACTGCCCCTGGGTGAGATGACCACTGTCCCGGGGTGGCATCACCCCTGCCTTATGGTGTGTTCACGACTGCCCCTGGGTAAGATGAACACTGTCGCTGAATGGAATCACCCCTGCCTCTCGGTGGTTCACGACTGCCCCTGGGTGAGATGACCATTGTCCCTGGGTGGGATCACCCCTGCCTCTCGGGGGGGGGTTCACGACTGCCCCTGGGTGAGATGACCACCGTCCCTGGGTTGGATCATCCCTGCCTCTCGGTGGGTTCACGACTGCCCCTGGTTGAGATGACCACTGTTCCTGCGTGGGACCACCACTGCCTCTTGGTGGGTTCTTGACTGCCCCTGGGTGAGATGACCACTGTCCCTGGGGGGGATCACCCCTGCCTCTCGGTGGGTTCACGACTGCCCCTGGGTGAGATGACCACTGTCCCTAGGTGGGATCACCCCTGCCTCTCGGTGGGTTCACAGCTGCCCCTGGGTGAGATGAAAACTGTCCCTGGGTGGTATCACTCCTGCCTCTCCGTCGGTTCACGACTGCCCCTGGGTGAGATGACCACCGTCCCTGGGTGGGATCACCCCTGCCTCTCGGTGAGTTCACGACTGCCCCTGGGTGAGATGACCACCGTGTCCCTGGGTGGGATCACCACTGCCTCTCGGTGGGTCCACGACTGCCCCTGGGTATGATGACCACTGTCCCTGGGTGGGATCACCCCTGCCTCTTGGTGGGTTCACGACTGCCCCTGGGTGAGATGACCACTGTCCCAGGGTGGGATCACCCCTGCCTTACGGTGGTTTCACGACTGCCCCTGGGTGAGATGAACACTGTCGCTGAATGGAAGCACCCCTGCCTCTCGGTGGGTTCACGACTGCCCCTGGGTGAGATGACCATTGTCCCTGGGTGGGATCATCCCTGCCTCTCGGTGGGTTCACGACTGCCCCTGGGTGAGATGACCACTGTCCCTGGGTGAGATCACCCCTGCCTCTCGGTGGGTTCGCGACGCTTCCTGGTTGAGATGAACACTGTCCCTGGGTGGGATCACCCCTGCCTCTCGGTGGTTCCACGACTGCCCCTGGGTGAGATGACCACTGTCCCTGGGTGGGATCATCCCTGCCTCTTGGTTGTTTCACGACTACCCCTGGCCGAGATGACCACTGTCCCGGGGTTGGATCGTCCCTGCCTCACGGTGTGTTTACAACTGCCCCTGGGTGAGATGACCACTGTCGCTGAGTGGAATCACCCCTGCCTCTCGGTGGGTTCACGACTGCCCCTGGGTGAGATAACCATTGTCCCTGAGTGGGATCACCCCTGCCTCTCACTGGGTTCACGACTGCCCCTGGGTGAGATGACCACTGTCCCTTGGTGGGATCACCCCTGACTCTCGGTGGGTCCACGACTGCCCCTGGGTGGGATGACCACTGTCCCTGGGTGGATAACCCCTGCCTCTTGGTGAGTTCACGACTGCCCCTCGGTGAGGTGACCACCAGGCTCCTGGCTGGGATCACCCCTGCCTCTCGGTGGGTTCACGACTGTCCCTGGGCGAGATGACCATTGTCCCCTGGTGGGATCACCCCTGCCTCTCGGTGGCTCCACGACTGCCCCTGGGTGAGATGACCACTGTCCCTGGGTGGGATCATCCCTGCCTCTTGGTTGTTTCACGACTGCCCCTCGGTGAGATGACCACTTTCCCGGGGTGGGATCGTCCCTGCCTCACGGTGTGTTCACGACTGCCCCTGGGTGAGATGACCACTGTCGCTGAGTGGAATCACCCCTGCCTCTCGGTGGGTTCACGACTGCCCGTTGGGGAGATGACCATTGTCCCTGGGTGGGATCACCCCTGCCTCTCGGTAGGTTCACGACTGCCCCTGGGTGAGATTACCACTGTCCCTTGGTGGGATCACCCCTGACTCTCTTTGGGTTCACGACTGCCCCTGAGTGGGATGACCACTGTCCCTGGGTGGGATAACCCCTGCCTCTTGTTGAGTTCACGATTGCCCCTGGGTGAGGTGACCACCGTGTCCCTGGCTGGGATCACCACTGCCTCTCTGTAGGTTCACGACTGTCCCTGGGCGAGATGACCACTGTTCCCGGGGTGGGATCACCCCTGCCTCTTGGTTGTTTCACGGCTGCCCCTGGGTGAGATAACCACTGTCCCAGGGTAGGATCACCCCTGACTCACGGTGTGTTCACGACTGCCCCTGGGTGAGATGACCACTGTCGCTGAGTGGAATCACCCCTGCCTCTCGGTGGGTTCACGAGTGCCCCTGGGTGAGATGACCATTGTCCCTGGGTGGGATCACCCCTGCCTCTCGGTGGGTTCATGACTGCCCCTGGGTGAGATGACCACTGTCCCTTCGTGGGATCACCCCTGACTCTCGGTGGGTTCACGACTGCCCCTGGGTGGGATGACCACTGTCCCAGGATGGGATCACCCCTGCCTCTTGGTGAGTTCACGACTGCCCCTGGGTGAGATGACCACCGTGTCCCTGGGTAGGATCACCCCTGCCTCTCGGTGGGTTCATGACTGTCCCTGGGCGAAATGACCACTGTCCCTGGGTGGGATTAACCCTGACTCTCAGTTAGTTCACGACTGCCCCTGGGTGAGATGACCACTGTCTCTAGGTGGGATCACCCCTGCCTCTCGGTGGGTTCACGGCTGCCCCTGGGTGAGATGACCACCGTCCCTGGGTTGGATCATCCCTGCCTCTCGGTGGGTTCACGACTGCCCCTGGTTGAGATGACCACTTTTCTTGGGTGGGACCACCCCTGCCTCTTGGTGGGTTCTTGACTGCCCCTGGGTGAGATGACCACTGTCCCTGGGTGGGATCACCCCTGCCTCTCGGTGGGTTCACGACTGCCCCTGGGTGAGATGAAAACTGTCCCTGGGTGGTATCACTCCTGCCTCTCCGTGGGTTCACGACTGCCCCTGGGGGAGATGACCACTGTCCCTGGGTGGGATCACCCCTGCCTCTCGGTGAGTTCACGACTGCCCCTGGGTGAGATGACCACCTTGTCTTTGGGTGGGATCACCCCTGCCTCTCGGTGGGTCCACGACTGCCCCTGGGTATGATGACCACTGTCCCTGGGTGGGATCACCCCTGCCTCTTGGGGGGTTCACGACTGCCCCTGGGTGAGATGACCACTGTCCCGGGTTGGGATCACCCGTCCCTCACGGTGTGTTCACGACTGCTCCTGGGTGAGATGAACACTGTCGCTGAGTGGAATCACCCCTGCCTCTCGGTGGGTTCACGACTGCCCCTGGGTGAGATGACCATTGTCCCCAGTTGGGATCACCCCTGCCTCTCGGTGGGTCCACGACTGCCCCTGGGTGAGATGACCACTGTCCCTGGGTTGGAACACCCCTCCCTCTTGGTTGTTTCACGACTGCCCCTGGGTGAGATGACCACTGTCCCGGGGTGGGATCACCCCTGCCTTACGATGGGTTCACGACTGCCCCTGGGTGAGATGAACACTGTCGCTGAATGGAAGCACCCCTGCCTCTCGGTGGGTTCACGACTGCCCCTGGGTGAGATGACCATTGTCCCTGGGTGAGATCACCCCTGCCTCTCGGTGGGTTCACGACTGCCCCTGGGTGAGATGACCACTGTCCCTGGGTGGGATCACCCCTGCCTCTCGGTGGGTTCGCGACGCTTCCTGGTTGAGATGAACACTGTCCCTGGGTTGGATCACCCCTGCCTCTCGGTGGTTCCACGACTGCCCCTGGGTGAGATGACCACTGTCCCTGGGTGGGATCATCCCTGCCTCTCGGTTGTTTCACGACTGCCCCTGGCCGAGATGACCACTGTCCCGGGGTTGGATCGTCCCTGCCTCACGGTGTGTTTACGACTGCCCCTGGGTGAGATGACCACTGTCGCTGAGTGGAATCACCCCTGCCTCTCGGTGGGTTCACGACTGCCCGTGGGTGAGATGACCATTGTCCCTGAGTGGGATCACCCCTGCCTCTCGGTGGGTTCACGACTGCCCCTGGGTGAGATGACCACTGTCCCTTGGTGGGATCACCCTTGACTCTCGATGGGTCCACGACTTGCCCTGGGTGGGATGACCACTGTCCCTGGGTGGATAACCCCTACCTCTTGGTGAGTTCACGACTGCCCCTCGGTGAGGTGACCACCGTGTTCCTGGCTGGGATCACCCCTGCCTCTCGGTGGGTTCACGACTGTCCCTGGGCGAGATGACCACTGTCCCTGGGTGCGATCACCCCTGCCTCTTGGTTGTTTCACGGCTGCCTCTGGGTGAGATAACCACTGTCCCAGGGTGGGATCACCCCTGACTCACGGTGTGTTCACGACTGCCCCTGGGTGAGATGGCCACTGTCGCTGCGTGGAATCACCCCTGCCTCTCGGTGGGTTCACGACTGCCCCTGGGTGAGATGACCATTGTCCCTGGGTGGGATCACCCCTGCCTCTCGGTGGGTTCATGACTGCCCCTGGGTGAGATGACCACTGTCCCTTGATGGGATTACCCCTGACTCTCAGTGGGTTCACGACTGCCCCTGGGTGAGATGACCACTGTCCCAGGATGGGATCACCCCTGCCTCTTGGTGAGTTCACGACTGCCCCTGGGTGAGATGACCACCGTGTCCCTGGGTAGGATCACCCCTGCCTCTCGGTGGGTTCATGACTGTCCCTGGGCGAGATGACCACCGTGGCTGTCCCTGGGTGGAATCAACCCTGTCTCTTAGTGAGTTCACGACTGCCCCTGGGTGAGATGACCACTGTCCCTAGGTGGGATCACCCCTGCCTCTCGGTGGGTTCACGACTGCCCCTGGGTGAGATGAAAACTGTCCCTGGGTGGAATCACCCCTGCCTCTCGGCGGGTTGACGACTGCCCCTGGGTGAGGTGACCCCTGTCCCAGGGTGGGATCACCCCTGCCTCTCGGTGGGTTCACGGCTGCCCCTGGGTGAGATGACCACTGTCCCTGGGTTGGATCATCCCTGCGTCTCTGTGGGTTCACGACTGCCCCTGGTTGAGATGACCACTGTCCCTGGGTGGGATCACCCCTGCCTCTTGGTGGGTTCTTGACTGCCCCTGGGTGAGATGACCTGTGTCCCTGGGTGGGATCACTCCTGCCTCTGGGTGGGTTCACGACTGCCCCTGGGTGAGATGACCACTGTCCCGGGGTGGGATCACCCCTGTCTTGGTGGGTTCACGACTGCCCCTGGTTAAGATGACCACTGTCCCTGGGTGGGATTACCCCTGCCTCTCGGTGGGTTCACGACTGCCCCTTGGTGAGATGACCAATGTCTCTGGGTGGGATCACTCCTGCCTCTCGGTGGGTTCACGACTGCCCTTGGGTGAGATGACCAATGTTTCTGGGTGGGTTCACCCCTGCCTCTCGGTGGGTTCACGCCTCCCCCTGGGTGAGATGACCACTGTACCGGGGTGAGATCATCCCTGCCTCTCGTTGGGTTCACGACTACCCCTGGGTGAGAAGACCACTGTCCCTGGGTGGGATCACAACTGCCTCTCGGAGGGTTCACGACTGCCCCTGGTTGAGATGACCACTGTTCCATGGTGGGATCACCCCTGCCTCTCGGTGGGTTCACGACTGCCTCTGGTTGAGATGATCACTGTCCCTGGGTGGGATCACCCCTGCCTCTCGGTGGGTTCACGACTGCCCCTGGGGGAGATGACCACTGTCCCTGGGTGGGATCACCCCTGCCTCTCGGTGTGTTCACGACTCCTCCTGGTGTGCGCGCGCGCGTGTGTATGTTTGGGTGCATGTGCGTGTGAGTGCGAACGCACCCACATGCGTGTGTGTATGTTTGTGTTCCTGTGCGCGTGTGTGTGTGTGTGTGTATGTGTGTGTTTATTTTACTTCCTATGCCCAGTGTCTGTCACTATTTGTACAAGCTTTCAACAAGTCTGCTGATGATTTCCCACCACCAACACAGGTACAGTGAACTTGTGTAATTCCCACGCTGCTTGACGTAGCGTAGAGATCCACACCTGTTTGATAGGGGACCTGAAATTGAGCAGGGTCACGCCATACTTTGGATGGAGGGTACCAGAACACAATATTTGAAAAAGAAGGAACAAAAAATGTTACTGGAACAGAACATGATATTATGCAGAAGACGACTCCACAAATCACCACACACATAGTAGTAAGGGATACAGAATCTCCTCCCCCCACCAACCCTTCCCTCAGGGCCGTGAAGACCGTGCAATATTTCCAACATCCTTCCAGTTGCCCCCCCCCCCCCCTACAGACCCAACTCTACCCCACCTCACCCTTGACTGGATGTATATCCATCATAACAGGTATGTATCCTGAATACGACTTCTCGGCCCTTTTTTGAACTTCTGTCATAGGACGGCATCTTGGATTGCATAGTTGGTGTGCACATTAGTCACGGAGACAAGGATGCTTGTACTGAGTTACTCGCGAGACTATCCAACCATGTTTTATTGGCGCTCACCCAGGTAAGTGAGTGATTGTATCTACAGTCGCCAAAGTCAGTTTGACTGGTGTTTGTCCAGCGCACCTATAATTATTCCATTGTCCCCATCGATCGGCAACAGCTTTCCTTTTCTCTTCCATTCTCATCACAACACCTTGTTCTAGCCCATGGCTTTCCTAAATAATGCTGTAATGCAACACCACATTGATGTCCCTGTGAGCATATCACAATGATGCTAGGTAGTCATGTCAGGCTGTTACCTGTTCGATCGGCAAAAACTTTCATTCTCATCAAAACACCTTGTTATAGCCCATGACTTTCCTAGAAATACTGCAAAACAGCACCACATTGAAACAACGCCATATTGAAGACTCAAGGAATGCATCACACTGAGGTCAAGTAGTCCTGTTAGACTGCTACCTGTAGACTGCTTTCTGGCAAAAAGACGTCAGTGCATGCCATTAGCCATCTGTCCCTTCTTTCCTGGATCATTGTATCTCTGGTGAGTCGACCAAATGTTCCCACAATGGAGTTGGTGAAATTTCAGAAGGTATTTCATACGGCTGAGTCGGGTAGCATTTTCTTCGGGTATCAGGTCCGGGTAGTTTTCCACGGGTAGCACGGGTACCCG